CAGCTGAGGGCGCTGTTGTAAAAAGCTAACCTCAATATTCAACACTCGATAACTCGTTCGTTTTGTGGGGCTGTGTGGGTTTGGATTCCCATTAAGGCGCGTTAGGATGAAACGAACGTGTCATCGAGCGTCGTCTTATTTTCCAACATCCAACGCGCTCGACGTTTCGAAGTTTTATTAAATCGGAAACAATTTATTCGAAAAATTCAGGAACACGTTCCCGAAACGACTGGAGCGTGTTAACAACGAAATAATAGAAAGCGAATCCATCGTGGTCCGCGTTCACCCGAGTCTCGTATAATTAAATTCTAATTCCACTTTGAAACTGAATCTGACACGAATCGTTGAGCTTATCCGTGGACAGAAAAGCCAGTGACACGTAGGTGAACCGGATATCGATATCCCTTATAGGCTGCGGCTCTTGAACAGGAATTTCCTGGGCGATCCCCGTAGGAATGCGGATCGTCGTTAGCGAAGACACGTTTCCCATTTTTCCGTCGCGGTTCGCGTCCCTATATTCATTTACGAAGCTTTACATGCCGTGTACGATCCGATGAATGATCAAACATGCACGACGATATCACCATTATGATGTTTTATACGCTTTAATAATATTCCCTCACCCGGTTAATTTTTATTCGTCGGCACAGCGTTCTTCTTCGATTTTTCCTTTTTCTTTAAGCAATCCATCTTTTCTCGTGTAACAAAATTTGTAATTTCGTTTGAATAATATTCTCAGCGATCTTTCTAAGAATCGATGGACATTTTTCAAAAAAGGAACCATCTGTTTTGGACGAGTGGTTCTCGCGTAGCGGCCCGTTAAAGTTTCGTCCAACTGATTGGCGACGCGTGGCGCTTGGAGCTCGAGTGGGGGAAGCGCGCCACGCCCACGAGCACTTCCATTGGCCAAAACTTTAACGACCATTTGCGAGAAAACCGTTGATCCACGACCCTTGGTTCCTTCACAACTTTTTCTTCTTTCATCGAGCAGAGTAGAATTTTGCAACAGGTTTCTCTTTAAATCTCCACCGTTGCAGCGGATGTTTATTATCGTAATAATCTCGGTTCCTATTCCCATTAGGTATCAGAAGTGGCATGCGATTTGAAAAGGTTAATGAGTTAATCTTTATCGCGAACGTTGCAGAGAATTTTGAAAAAAAGAAACATAGACCGACTGGTTCGCGTTATTTCCTGGCTTTCTCCTGTCCGAATCACGCAACGTCGGGACGGTGATGCACTTCGAGGCGGCGGATTGCGTAAAATGCTTGACAAGCTGGGTCACCGAAACCGCCGGCGCCGCACCTGTTCCACGTTGATTCGTACCGCGCGAAAATATCGATCCGGCCGCGTGTAAATCGCCGTATCGATCCGGGCGCGGTTCTCCATCATCCGTAGCGAGAGAAATTAAGGGAGGTTATCGTGGCCAGCGATCGCGAAACACGCCTTTAAATTAAACGTATCGCTGAAACCGAACGCGAGGACGGGTGAAAGGAGAAAAATCGAAGGGGGGGAGAGGGGGTTCTTATGTCGACCAGTTGGAATTTCGAAAAAGTCCAATCGCGACAGGAAAAAAGCAACGGTGAGTTTCGATACGTGGCTCAAAACTCACCAAACTTTGCACAGTTTCATCCAACCTGGACCTGACCCACAACCCTACATAGTTCGATGCCACAGCACGTAACATGGAGAGATTATGGTCAATGACTATTTACCAATCATGACTATGGAAAGTTTTAAACGACGGTGAAGCATTAGTAGGAAAAGCTGACGAAACCTTTCAACGGACCTATCAAAGACACCGCTAGGCTTAATGTATTATCATATGCTGAGTCAGTGCACGATAACGATAGCACTTGCTTCTTTCAGCATGAAAGGCACAAAACCATGACTCTCCGAGACGTACCCCATTGTAAGCTCGATCCTTCTATCCAGAGACTTCGATGAACATAAACAACTCCTCGAATATTTGCAAAAAGTACCTCTCGACGCTGACAAATTCCCCAAGCAGGTATCGACTCTATTAGAATACACGCGTGGTTGATCTACGACCGGTGCAAAGTAACGTGAAACGTATATCCGCAATTAAGTTCGCGCAAAAGTCCTCCGAGCTTACAATTTAATAATTTCAGTATCGTATCTCTGGAAATACTTGGCAACGTGTTGCCACGATACCGAAGGCTTCGCGCGGAGCATGTTTCCAGCACGTGTATCGCATTCTTGGACCGCGGCAAGTCTGGAAGATTCCAAGCTAAGTGGTTCACCGTAATGGTAGCCTAGGTGATATCGTCCCGGATTACAGACCGGGAGATCAGCATTAGAATCCCACCCGGAAAGCCTCGTCCGACGCGTTCGAACGTCCGAATCGTCCAGATAACCGAACGAATGTCACCCTCGATAAGTGAACCAAAACACGTCATCTTCATCGATATTGCTCGATCTCTAAATACGCAATCCATCGTCCTCGATGCAAAACAAAGGGGTTATAGAATTGTACATATACACGAAACGACAGTGGCGTAGGAGCCACGCCAGACGCGTTCCAAAGAGGCATAAACGAGGCAAAGCCAAGAATCCCGAGTTTATTGAACCACGAACGGAACAGTTCTGGTAAGACGATGCTTATGTATTGCATTACGCCTATTTGTACCGGAGAGAGAGACCGAGCAGTGGAATCGCGACTCGTATTCAAGACTTCTTGGTCGGCTTGCGCTCGCAAAAATCGCTCGATAAATTGAGGTATCTTATTGGGTCAAACGCGTCACTGTCACTGTCCACCTTCCTTTTACTCATTATACGGATGGGAGAAACAAAGTTCTCCCACCACCCCCGGAAGGTATCGGGTAAGCCGTACTAGGTCAGACGTATTACTCGAGCTTTGTAATACCCGTTGCCCACTTGACGGTTTTACTCCCGGGAGTAGGTATCGAGAATAAGAGGTCTTTCACGGGAGCTAGCGGAACAGTTGCTGAAAGTTGCCTCGTCATCCATAAGGTCTGCCGGGGGTGTCTGCGAAAGAATGCTCGCGATGATGTGCCCGCTAGAAAGTCTGGGCTAGGGACTATTAAGAACAAAACTCTTCAACCGGACGTTGGATGAGCCAAGATCACTTGACACTGTCGCGTCTTTAGGTGCCTGGACACCTGTAGTCGATGGAAGTCCTACATTCTCACGAGTGATCTTCGATTCTGGTATCTGGGGGATGTTTGGGGTGGGAATCACTAGCTTGTAACTTTAGTTATTTGTATGTCAAAAACTGTTGGATATATATGGCTAATATTTTGCATGGGTAATCAGGAGTGGCTCTACTGTTATTGTGCAAAAGCACAGAGAGATCGGAGTCGAGCAGTTTGTGACCCCTCGTTGGGGTTATTTCAAAAACTATTGGGTATCCACGGCTAATATTTTGCATAGGTGACAAGGGATGGCTGTACTATTATCCTGCAAAAGCACATCGAGATCGGAGTCGAGGAGTGACCCCTCGTTGGGGTTGTGGAGAAATTGAAAGACAATCGTCTTTTTGGGGGTTGAATCATGCCACTTAACCCGAGACTGATGTTGCTCGCGACAATGCCTGTCGCGCCTCGAGGAGGCAGGTCTAAAAGCGGTCGGGGCGAAGGATCGAGGGAGCCAAGTCGGTCAAACGAGGCGCGTAAACAGATCTGTCGGAGCCCGCGATCGCGTGAACGGTTTCTAGGTGAGCGACCACTCGACCACTACCGGGTGTCGTGCTCGAAACGGTCTCTGGTGTCGGGGAGTGCGGTCGATGTGGCGCCTCGTTTCGTGTTTCACGCCGCGAGACAAGGCACCGATATAGCCGAGGAGGAGGCGGACGACGACGACGACTTGGACGATGATCGTTCCGTCCCCTCCCGCGCGTCGTTCCAGCGGATGCCCGGGCGATGAGAGAGCAGGTGACAGGAAAGAAACAGGGACAGCGAGCGGTCTGTCCTCTCCGGTAGCTCGCGAATCGCGTGGCGCACGCGAAATCTCGCCGCGTCTAGGAAACGTTTCGCGAAGATCCTGTTACCCGGCTGCTGCGTCTGTACACCGCCGCCGCCGCCGCCGCCGCCGCCGCGACCGGGAAAGTGAACCGTCCGATTAATCGGCCGAACACGCACATGGAAGAAAGTAGAGGGTCCGCGGGATCGCGATCGATCGAGTTCCGCTGGCGAACAACGAACGGAACCGGCCCAGATGGGGAGGGGCAGAGGAAAAAAAAGGAGGAATTCCTGAGACGAAAGACGACGAGAACGACGCTGGACCAGATATCGCCGACGGCCACGATGATATTGTGATTCTTTGGCGAACAAGGACCGGGCAATTAGATGACAATCAAACCGGGAGGAAAAGTGTGTCGAGAAGGGGCCCACCGGCGGAAACGGGTCAGACGGATCGACCGTGTAACGTGTTTGTTATGTTTAACGGTTCAACGTAACGAGACGATCTCCGAATTCGAGGATTAGCTTACTCGCGATAGATCGTTACTGATCAGAGCAAATTTAACGCGATCGCTGCCAGATCAAAACCGTATAATATTCTGCAAAAATAATATTTTGATTTTAGTAACCTTGTTAAAGTTCACAAATTCTATATTTATATTTAATTTATAAATATATATTAATAATTATAATTCAATTCTTAACTCAATATTTTAACTTGAGAAAAGCTTGATAGGGGAAGCGACTAATTATTTTTAGTGTACTAGGCATAGCTCGCTATATGTATAGAAAAAGTAAACCGGAAGTCATCCTGAGCCCACTGCGTAAGGATTAAATAAATAAAATATAATTTTTAATACGCCATCATGGATTCGTTTTCGATTTATTCGTTAACGATATCGCTCGCAATCTTTATCCCGGGAGTAACTTTGCGCCGATCTACAATACGGGATAATTGATTCCGGCGCTCGAGTTAGCGATCTCATTAATTTCCCCCGAGAATGTGACCTTTAATTCGCCTGGTTGCTAATCTCTTCGCAGGGAACTTGATTTAACACTCACCGAGCATGATCCAGATCTCTCTTGTTGCCAAGCAGCAGGGCGGTGAAATAGGATGGCAGGCGTAAATCAGCGAGTTGCTTTAGCAGTCCACGGGCTTCCTGAAAGCTTCGTTTACACGTCACGCTGTAAACGACCACGAAAGCCTCGCCCCACCGAATATGAGAGTAGAGGCAACCATTTTCCTGCAACAATAAAATAGTTCCTCTTAAAATATTACTTCTCGCTACTAAGTATCGAGGTCTCCGTGCGTTAAAATTGTCTGGTATAGAATGATCCATCTAAATTAATTAATCGATGGATCGTTGTTTATTTCGTTCGATGGTAATAGGGACGCGATAGAAATTTGCACACTGTTCCAGATATAATTAGATCGCTAAAGCGTGAGAATAAAAGGCAACTTTCATAGTTTCCACCTAGAATTTCGCGCGAAATTACTCAATTACCGTGCTCATCAGCGCTCAAACCACCGTGACGCTTAGACAGTTTTAGAAAGTTCGAAAAAAATAACCGATAATTACACGAATTTTTCCCGGCATCGACGCTTACGTAAGTGGCGTGCAACTTCGAGCCAGTTTTCCCCCGCGAAGTCACAGAAAGAGGAAGTTCGATTTCACTTTCGGGTCAAAGATTCATCCATCTGACCGACCGACAATTTTTATTCAACCTTCCGGGTGCAAATTACTCTAGTCAAAATAAACAATATACATTTTAAAAATTCAAAAACCTAAACGTCCATTCGTAAATTAAATTCTACTCAAATCGTAGTGCATTTAACCAACATTAACGCAAACAATTTTGTAATTAATTTGTTCATCTATGGAATAAAAAAGAAAAACAACTATTTAGAGTATTTCTAAAGAAGCGTCGAAAAATATAAATAAATTTTCTAGAGGCATACAAATATTCATTCACGATTGCAGCGACCATTTTCGTGTTACGTTATTTTTTGAACGATCCTCGATGAGGTTAAAAAGGAAATCCTCTTCGACCATTTCCGCCAGTTCGAACAGTATTTTTTTTGTTCTGGGAGCGCGACGCTTAATTAACACGTTAATCAACATTCCCGAGCGAGTTGGCTGGAAAGCCCCGATCTAGATCCGATCCTCGCGCGGCGTTTCACTTTGCTCCGCGCGCGACATCGCGGATTTATAATTCGACCGGCGATCCGGCGACGATTAGCGCCAGCGAATCGCCGGGCGAACCGTCCCCGCGATAATTGAAATAGAAACGGCTAAACTGGTATCGTCGCGAGTACGTTCTATTTTCGAGGCACGCTCGGAGCTTCACCTCTGACCTTCCGACCGATCGTCGACGCTAAGAAGACTTCCGAGATCTACCGGCAGAAAGAAGCAGCGTTTCGATTGTTTCCAATCTACTACCAGTGGAAACAACCATTATTTCCCTTTCTCCCTACACTGGCTACCAAACTAGTCAAAAATCACTGATCATTTTATGGTTAGACTGACATCAGCAGATATACAATTTTAGTTTCGATACTTTCACTTTAGAGTCACCCACCCTCGGTTTAAGATAGAAATTACTGCTAAATTTGTTTCAAGTTTGAGCAGGAAATCACAATGTGTATCTTTCTTTCGAGTAACAATTCTTCACCCAGGATTTTTATAAGGAATTCAGGCTCTTTATAATTCTAATTTTCACACTTTTACTCTATAGGTATTACCCTCTGTTTAGGATAAAAATTACTACGAACTTTGTTCCAAGTGACAGTACGAAATTACTTTACCCCGGATACAAGTAACAGATTCGATTCTCAATCTCAGTTTGATCCAATATTAGCAATCTCGAGATCAAAATTGCTAGATCGTCTTCAAGCGAACCCATCATATCAGTGAAGAAATTTAAGCACAACAGGGAGTAACTTCCGGTTTGGGGGTGGATCCACAACGAACGAGGCACGTTCGAAGGAAAGATTCCAAATTCCGCGTTTAAAGGGGGTCTGGTCTGATTGCTGATGCAGGGATCAGGACGAAAAGAGCCGAGACGGCCACGTAACAGCAGCGAGAACGTTTCAAGTTTAACGACCCGCGGAAGCTGTCGATTCTCGTGGCCGTTCCAATGGTTTCCCATTGACCTGGCACTGACAGCCGGCCGGTAATTATTACCGGGGAACAGGATCGACGGGATCGTGATCATCGGGATCGCTATATAGGAAGGTCTAGGCGCATTAGTCTCGCGGGATCGACGAAGGTGAACGTGGCCGTGAACCTTTCGATCAGCTAAACGCCGTGTGGCATCTGGTGACCATAATTGGTGCGATCGGTCCACGGAAACCATCGTTGGACGTCTGTCACAGGGGGGAAAGAGGGACCTTTTAGCCGGCGAGGAATCGTGGTTCCTGGGGTGATTGATACGGGAAATGAGACGGCTGGCTGTCGGGTGAACGAGTACGCGAATCTTCATCGCGAAACGGAGAACGGAAGAAAGGATTCGTGGGTGTTTATTTTTGGAAATCGAGACACCGTTTCGTTTGTGGATATTCTCGACGCGAGACGTCGCGAGTGAGTCACACGCGATCCTTTGTACTTTTCACATTTTTGTTCGAAATTTATCTCTGACGTAGACTCGAGCAAGATTATTAATTTTCAACCCTGATTCTTCTGAACTAGAGATTGATGCAAGTAGCCTGGGTAGAGCAGAGCTACCTTACAGCTCAATCATACTCTATATTTAGCGACAGTCGGTCGATCTTAGAAGCACTTAGGCCTGAAATAGTTAAGAGAGCAGTCAGGCTCGATTGGCACAGTTGTTTGACACGTTCGTTGTCCCCATAAGCAGAAACGGGCGTCCCGAAGAACGCTCTAGTCTCGATGCATACTGGGGAACCCTGCTGCGACAACCTGGAAACCAGGTAGACGAAATTCTACGTTACTAAGAAAATTCCTACATTGTGTCTTGATAATCTAACAAACTTAAATCCTGATACAAACGGTACCAACAAATTTTGACAAACTAATGAAAGTCTTGAAATGAAATTCGGTCGAAAGTAATCAAAATGATCACTCGACTAATCCCAATCGTCACAGCAACCTGACAGAGTGTCTTAAGGTCGTTTAACTTAAATTGTGATGCAAACAGTACCAACAAATCTTGACAAATTGATGAAAACGTTGAAATGAAATTCGATCGAGAATAATCGCGATCACTCGACTAATCCCAATCGTTGCAGCAACCTGAGAGGGTGTGCTCCGATTTAGGGTGGTCCATCGAGTGTCTTAGGATCGTTTAACTTGAATTGTGATGCAAACAGTACCAACAAATCTTGACAAATTGATGAAAACGTTGAAATGAAATTCGATCGAAAATAATCGCGATCACTCGACTAATCACAATCATTACAGCAACCTGACTGGGTGTGTTTCGGTTTAGGGTGGTCCTTCGAGTGTTTTAGGGTCGTTTTAGAATGGGTGATGGATGACGGGTGGAGGATGGCGAAGAAATTGAAACATCGACATGCTTTCGTTGGCTTTCACGACGCGGTTCGACTACGCGCAACGCGAGTTCCTCGGCTTTTATTTACGAGCGCGTTACACGCAATGTTAATTCGACAGATTTGACCGTAAATAACGACCGTAAATACCTTGGCCGGCAGAGTATATATTTATCTCCAGCTATAAAATTCCGTCCCGGCGGATGCACGGTGCTCCGCGAGATAGGTGGAATTTACCAGCGAGCAGGCCAAGGGAAGATTAACGCGGTGAATTTTCGTCAGGATGTTTCTCTGGTACGTGTTCGCGGAACACCGAAGTGCAGGCGTACCGGAAACCGCGTTCGATTCGCGATTATTTAACTTTTGGATTGATGGTCGTACCCGTCTCTCGTTCCAGTGGCTCCTGAGGATCCTCAACGGGAAGTGATCGCACGCGGAAGTGCGCGGGAAAGGAACGAAAGCAATCCACGGGTTTCTTTCGCTTCTCCGGCGAGATGGTAAACGTGTTTGTTTACGTTCGCTGGATGCCATTCGGTGTCGTTGAAACTTTCCAAAGGGTGGAGTTTCGCACTTTGGAAACTAAAATCGTTCACTCTAACACTAAGACACCACTTAACTTACATTCAATGTGTTTTTTACGGATTTCATTGGTCAACTATGTCATTCTTGGGGTAGTACTGCTTTCATGAATTTTTTTCTCGAAAGCGCGTAGGAATTTGAGGGTATGTGTATTCACCAAAAATGATTATAACTGATCCCTGCAAATGAAAATAATTTTTTCAAAACGATTTAAAACTTTTCAATTTCACCGAAAAATTTCAGTGCCTACTCGAATTTTTTTCTCGAAAATGCGTAGGAATTTGGGGGTATAACCGTTCACCAAAAATGATTATAATTGACCCCTGCAACTGAAAATAATTTTTTCAAACCAATTTAAAACTCTTCAATTTCACCGAAAAATTTCTGCGCCTACACGAATTTTTTTCTCGAAAATGCGTAGGAATTTGGGGGTATGCCCCTTCACCAAAAATGATTGTAATTGACCCCTGCAACTGAAAATAATTTTTCCAAAACGATTTGAAACTTTTTTTTTCCGAAGTAAAATTTCATAACTTCTTGAATTTTTTTCTAGAAAGTGGGTAAAATTTCGGGGGTATGTCTATTCACCAAAAATGATTGAAATTGACCCCTGCAACCGAAAATAATTTTTTTAGAACGATTTGAAAAATTTGTTTTTCTCCAAAAATTTCATACCTTCTCGAATTTTTTTCTAGAAAGTGGGTAAGATTTCGGGGGTATGTCTATTCACCAAAAATAATTGAAATTGACCCCTGCACCTGAAAATAATTTTTTCAGAACGATTTGAATCTTTTCAATTTCGTCGAAAAATATAGGCATCTACCCCCTGTCGATTTTTCTAAAAATTCGTTTTTCATTTTTAGTAACTTTATTTGACGCCCTACAGAAAAGTTGTCTAATACTTTTTTGTATGTATCCATGAGCTCTACTTTAGACAAAAGTTTCAATGAGATACGTTCACTGTTGTAGAAAATATGGCCGTTTGATAATTGAACCATTTTTCTGGGGTTTTTCTCATTTTACGGGGTTAAGGAACAACTTTTCGAATATTTTTAGAATTTCTACATATTCTTCACCAAAATACACGTTGTTTGCGATTTGAAACATTAAAATCCCCCAATCCGTTCAGAAGTTATGACATTTTAAAGATTCGCA